CGCCCTTTCTTTGATTTCTTTTTCATTCTTTCTTGTGATTCTTCTTGTCGATTTGTTTTATAATGCATGTCCAGAAAGATATTTTGTTTTTATCTAGAATTGACAAGAAAACAAAGACAAAATTTGCTAATATATAGAATGAATATTAGAAATGGAAGCAACATAAAAAATCTATTTTATTTTCTTCTAACTACTACAAAGACGAATTCTAGTGTTTATATCATCGGCTTGTCGTAATTACGTTGTCGAAGGAGGTTCATTTGGCTTTTGTTCTAAATTTGAAAAAAAAGAAGAACATTCTATCACATTAAAAACAGAAATCATGCGACTATTTACTTTTGTTGGGTAGTGTTTCCTTTAGTAACGAGGACTTGGGACGTTTACGTGTCAGTTCAAATTCTGTATTTGGATTATTTCGGTGACCAACAATTAATCGAATATCGCCATAATCTGTTTTCTTAAAGATGTCATTATGAATTTCATGTATATATCGTTTTAAACCTTCCAGTCTTGCTTCATGTGTGCAATGAATGAAGATGTTTTTTTCAAATTTCTGGTCTTTTTGTTTCGTAGTTCTATTCTCTTCTTGAATAGGTTGGTTATCAAGTATGGTATTGACTGTCGCTGCACGTTTTCTCGTACAGATTTGTTGAATAGACGGTTGCGCAAGTAATTTTTCACGTATAACAAAAAATGTTTCTTCATTCTCAATCAACGGTAAAATCGATGACAATGAAGATGAAGACAAGTATTTTGCAAAGAATCCTTCAAATTGTGCATTGATATATTTGGATGGATATCTAAAAGAAGAAAACATCGCATAGCTTCTATCTATTAAAGAAAATCGAAAACAAATAATTTACCCATTCAATAATAAAGTTAAGCGAATCCTACGTCGTTCTACATTGAATGCTTCAAATGTGGATGAATATCGTATCGCTCGCATTAGTATAGTTTGAATGACATTTCGAAAAACATGCCGAGGATGATCCGATAAAAATGATAAAACTGCTGGCTCAGCTGACGACTTATGATAGACAGATGATGACAGAAGACCATTATGATTACTTAAGAGAATATCAAGAAATGAAATACTCTTTCCTATTGAATAGGTTAATTTAATGTTTGGGTGAAACTCATTAGCTGCATCGAGCCATTGTTTTATAGTTGTTTCCGTCTCGTTTGATGTGAAAAAGATATCATCAATATATCTATGAAAGAGAAAAAAATAAATCAACTGATTTCAAGTATACGTAGAGAATTT